CCCCCCTTTTTTTTTTTTTTAAGATTTCATGCTTACTCTAGGGCAAGGTTAGCAGTCCACCTCTATTACAATAACACTTTCAAATTTTGTACACTTAATCTGGTATCTTGAGACAATTTCTAATAAAAATTTGCCATTTAATCCTTCTTTTTATTGCCAAGAAACAGCAGAACCACTGCAATGTCTTATTTAATGAAGACAACGAGTGCACTGGGGTGGTGATAGCAACAACAAGGAGGCAAATGGAGAGTTGGCTGTAGGTGTTTTTAGTAATCTTTTTTTATCATCAGACCAATGAAGTCCAGGAAGACATGAAAGTTCAAACTCTACTAGCCTTTAAGAGCTGGTTTATGTTCGTTGTACCACAGGCAAGTAGTAGGAAGAGAAAATTTTAGTTGCGGCTGTAGCAGTCTTCCACTTCTCGCTCTGTGATATTTAACTTTTTTTGCTTCCCATTGTTTCATCTCAGAAGGCAAAAATTTGTTCAGTCTCCTGCAGGGTATCTTGTTCCAGGCTTCCCCTTCCCACATGTCCTTGTAGTCATTTATTTTTAATATTGTGAGAGCATAATGGAAAACTGTAAGCTGTTCGAAAAGGCAATCTTTGCCATATTTGCTTGCATAGAAATTCCTGCTATCCGGATTCATGTGTTCGTCTGTATTATCCTGAAACTCAACCTTTGATGTCATGTGTTTCCTGGACTGTGGCCGATAGATCAGAGTTAAAGGGAGCATTTGTGTTTGTGGCTCTTTTGTTAAGGTTTGAATGGTTGGGTAGCTTTGCCCTGTTGCTATGAAATAACCCTTTAATTACTTGAGAGAGATTCAGTTTGTAGTCAGGTGTGAAGTACTGCGAACCAGTCTTTCAAGAAATAATGAAGTTGTCGTAATTATATGTATGCATATGTATGTATATGTTTAAAAGAATGCTAAATCTCAAGGGAATTTTTGTATGCCTCTTGGACTTTGAATCTCCTGATTACATCCAACTTAACAATTTCAATTTGTCCTAGATTCCTGAGAGATAGAAACTGTCTTTAAAAATCTAGTGAAGCCTGAGTTGCTTGTTATCAGGAGCAAAGACTTAGCATAAAACTGCAAACATTTTAAAACTTAAAAATTCACTGAGACACTTGGCATCATTACTTCTGTGTAGCTAAATCTTCTGTTGTTTTAATCTGGAAAAGTTCTGCGAGCAGAACTGTCACTAGAAATCTGAGTATTTTATCATACTTCTACTCCCTTGTCACATTGGATACAAGTTCTTCTAATGGGCAAGTGCATCAGAATTTCTAACCATTCATTTTCCAAATTTCTGTTCCTGTCTGGAGTTGGGACCATGCTTGGACATTTTGGCCACCAGTGTATATTTGGATGTCAGTCACTTACGATTATAAAATCTTTTCCTCTGGTTGTCTGAAGTGTGATACGTGCTTGTTTGGTTTTTGCAAAATAGCCTTTTTACTGCAGCTTGTAACCTCGCAGCAGAGCAGGTCTAATACATTCTTTGCATGTTGTATATAAAATGTTCGGTGGTAATGTGGAAAACTGCTTCATAAAGACCTGCTAATTTGTGAGACTGTCGTCTGTTATTGCTTCTCTTCATGAGCTTTCTTTTTCTTTTCAAACACAGTTGGAGATTTGTCGAATGAACTTGTAAGGCATTTTCTGATAGAATGCACTCACAAGGGGGTGCGCTTGAAAGGATGCCCGAATGAACCATATTTTGGTAAGTACTGTACATCACAGGGACACAGAAAATGGAAACAATTTGCATTTGCCAGAGCTGTTTTATAGATTTGGATGGAGTGCAAATGAAAGAATACTTTGCTCAAGTCCTGATGATTTCTGTAGGAACCCATTCTAAGGTTATAGGACCCTTGTATGCAAGGCTTGCTTACAACCCGATGTACGTGTGCAGGGCAGTCTAGCACAGATGCACATGACTAAGCTTCAGGCGGTCAAACTTGTCTACCACTACCAATGCCACTGCAGACAGCTGAGCTAGATAACTGTTGTGGGCCTTATTGATTCAGGACCTTTGCCTTATTTTGTCCTGTGCTATATTTATGCTGTGTATTAGCTGGCTGAAATGACACCAGAGTGAGACGTTCACAACGTACATTATGCTGCTTCAGCCTCCCTAATGTAATATGACAAAAGCACATTACTTGTTGTGGCAAACAGCCAAACACCTACCTAGCTGCTCACTCATTTGTCCTCCTCGGTGGACTGGACGGGAAATAGGAAGAGAAAGCTCATAGGGTTGAGATAAAGACACGGAGGTTGCTAACCGGTTACTACTGTGGACAAAAAGAGACTCAACTTGGAGAAAATGAATTTAATTTTTTGCCAATTAAAATTAGTATTCAGGTAGTGAGAAATAAAGACAAACATTAAAAGAACAGTTTTCATTCCCCATTTCCCAAGCTCAACTTCACTGCTTCCCCCCAGACACCTTGCCCCCACTGCAGGCAGTGCAGGAGGGGGTGTGGGGTGTATGGTCCTACAGAACAGTTCCTATCTGCTGCTCCATCCCTCTTGCACTTTTTCCATGCTGAGGTGTGGGCTTTCCCCACAGGCTACCATCCATCAGGAAAAAAATCTGCTCCAGCATGTGCTCTCTGTGGGCCACAGTTCCTTCAGGAAACGTCCGTCTAGTCTAATATGAGGTCTTTCACAGGCTGCAAGATGGAGGTTGTCAGCTTGGGTGCCTGGAGCACCTCCTTCTCCTCTTCCTCCTCTGACCATGATGTTCCCTCTGCTGTGTCTCACCCTTTTTGTTCCCTTCTTGCCTCTCTGCTGCCTTTTCTGCCCATTCTTAGATAACTTTTCCCAGAGGCATCCCACCCATGGCCCAGCGATGTCCTGCAGTGCGTCTGCTGGAGCTGGCCATGTCCGGTGTGGGCAGCCCCTGGCCTCTTCAACACAGAGGTCACCTTGCAGCACTCACACTCCCTGCTACCGGCCTAGTCACACATACCTAATACATCCATGAAAGAGTCATCTACCGTAAAATGAACAAGTGTAAAATCAGAAATCCTATTTGAAGTAAAGGTGGATTGAATTTTGTCAGTGTTTAGCATGAGACTTAATTCAAATCAGAATTTTTAGACCAGTCCTACCTTGATCTTAAAGTACCTGTTTACAGAATCATAGAATCGTTATGGTTGGAAGAGACCTCAAACATCATCAAGTCTAACCTTCTACCCAACACCACCATGCCCACTGAACCCACTAAACCCACTAAACCATGTCTCAAAGCGCCACGTCTAAACAGTTTTTGAACACCCCCAGGGATGGTGACTCCATCACCTTCCTGGGGAGCCCATTCCAACGCCTAACGACTCTTACAGTGAAGAAGTTCTTCCTAATATCCAACTGGAACCTCCCATGGCATAACTTGAGACCGTTTTCTCTTGTCCCATCGCTAGTTAGCAGGGAGAAGAGACCAA